TTTTTGTGTTATTTATACCACTTTTTTCATTAATTGGTTGTGATACCATTGAATTGTTTTAAATGATGAATTAATTCTTACGATTTTTTAAATGTTTGTGTGAAGTTTAGTGTGAAGATTTTGTAAATAATTGGAGGATTGTTGGGGATTTGGATTGGTTTTGTTTTTATTATGATAGATATGTGATGAATTTATTATGGAGATATAGGAAATTAAAAGGTATAGAGGAATTAATATATATAAGTTTTCACATTGATCATGTAGATCATGATAAATATTTTAAAATTAAATAATAAGTGTATTGTACAACTTTTTTCATTGATTGAGATGTTGATTTAATTCTTTTAATTAATGTGATTATTTTTTAAAGTGTCAAATTTGTATGTAAAGATAAGTGTCAGTCACTTTTAGAAAGAATAGGCATAAAGTTTGAATTTTCTATTTGTTTTAAGTATTGTGAGAGAGCTTGAGAGTATCGGTAAGAGGGGTAAATATGAGGTTTGCAGTTGCTTGTGTTGTTGATTTGGTATATAAATAAAGGGAAAGGTGGACTAAAATTACTTAGTATGTGTATAGAAAGTAATCCACACATATTAGGACATGATATGATGTTACATAAATCTTGAGATTTAAAATATTTTTTATAGATAAAATGTTAAAACTCTAACAGTAAGAAGTTAACTCGAGTCGATACCATCGTTGCTATCTGTGGATAGCCATGTGGATTGTCCAATTTATAACATGTTTGCTCTGCATCATGGTTGGCATATTTCTTCCACTTGTAAATCGAGTCACCTACATGAGGATTATTTGGTGGAAGAAACATGTCAGCGCCTTTCCTTTGTGTTCCAAAAGATGGATTCATAACCACTATTTCAATAATCTAACCTACACATAGTGGAATATTAATGAGTTGACAGAGAGGGAGATTTTTTTTTTCGGGGTTGAAAAGTAAGGTGGAAAAGATACCTGTCCATTTTAAGTTGCTGATGTCACATTGAATAAATTCCATGTCTAGCTGCAGATAAAATAGTTTAAGAAATGAATGAAACACAAATTAGTACAAGTGAGATTATACATGAAAGGCTACATGTATCAATCAAAACCAATGTAAAAACACCCACTCTCTGACACATCTATTAGGCTATCCACTACATTGTCCAATGCTTTAGAAAGTTATTTCATATGAAGCTATTTCAAAATATTTCTCTGCAAACTGATCTTTGTTCCTAATCTCAATAAAAGTAATCTTCTTGTACAAATATTGATATCTGGTTTATTCAGCTCGTCATTTTGCAAGTCAAATAGATAATGTTTAAAGTCATGTGGTAGTGCTCGGAAAGCAAGATTCTTACCTTAGTTCTCTTTAAAATGCGGCCAACTGGCTCATCCAGGTTAGCAAGCACACAAACTGAGTTTGCAAGACTTGAAATCTATAATTATTTTCAGCAAGATTACTAAAACAAGTATGTGATCTTGCAGTGAAAATTATTTACACGACACTATGTATCATAAGCGAGCATTGACTCAACTATAATCAGGAGAACACCCAATGGAGATGGTGTTTTCTCCAATATGATTCCATCAGTAAGCTGGATAAGGTTATAACATTCCAGAAATCAAGATTACATCGAAGAATGAATTCAAAGATAAATCAGTGATCAAATTTCGAGTCATAACTGGATGCTCTTTATCAGTATTCCCTAAAATTCCAACTTGGGAAAGTTTCTCCATGGTTAAAGATAAAATAGAGTGGAAAATAGTTGTCTATACCATTTGATTTTCCATAAAAGAACATTGTTATGTTTTTCAGGTATACAACTACTGAGAAAGACCAGAGGACCAAGGAAAATTTAGATATTCACTAATATTATTCGTCGCTACTTTTAGGTTGCCTTTAAGCATAAAAAATGAGGCTTCAAGTGCATGAAAGCCACTACCTGGATTCCATTGAAGAAGTACTAGATAAAGGAAATGGGATAGATTGAATAATGGGGCAGATACTATGTGCTACGAATACACCGCTAGTCTTTTGGTTGCAGACTATTCCATAAAGGCAGGTGGTGGAAGGCAATTATAAGTAACTAAGTCTTTTTTTTTTTTGGAATTTATGTTGTGAATGAGTGCAAAGTTCCATTTGACAGATGTTTATAAATCAAAAGGTTCTCCTCTTCAACAACACAAATCCAAAATTGATTGTACCAACAAATACCGCTATGTGTTAAGTTTAGTCATAAAGGCAACTTATGGAAGGCAATTATAAGTAACTAAGTCATCCATTAGTCAACAGCCACTTGAAGCTATTCCTCAAAGGCAAATGGTGGAAGGCAATTATAAGTAACTAAGTCATTTTGTGTGGAACTTATCTCGTTAATGAGTGGAAAGTACCATTTGACAGGTGTTTAAAAACCCAAAGCATCTCCTCTTCAACAACACAAATCCAAAAGTGAATGTGACATGAATTACCTCTATGTGCTAAGTTTTAGTCTAAAAGGCAACTTATGGAAGGGACTTTTAAGAAACTAAGTCATCCATGAGTAAATATCCACTTTGAATTATATATCCCATTCTAGTATTAGTGCAAAGTACCATTTGACAGGTGTATATAATCTATAAGCTTCTCCTCTATAACAACACAAGTCCAAAATTGAATGTAACATGAAATACCTAGATGTGTTAAGTTGTTAACTTAAAGGCAACTTATGGAATGGAATTCACAAAGTTGAGAAAGTTGAATAAACAAAGTATAAAGGATATGAATAAGCCATAAGATGTAGAGTAACTATAAAGGAATTATAACTCCAGCTGATAATATCCATGTTCGCAATGACTTCAATTGTATGTGAATATTTGAAATGAGCATAAAACATCTCTTTAATGTATCATACACTTAATATGAGTTAAATTGATCCAACCCATTGTGATATATTTTAAATAGATTATGATGTGTCATGTAGGATTTTTTTTATGTAAGTAACATGCATTTGCACTACCGTTTTGTGATGTTTATGAACCACAAGGTTCTCCTCATCAACAACACAAATTCGAAGTGTACAAAGTATATCTATTATTGTGGAACCATGTTGACCAGAATCCAACTCTGAAAGGCAAGAATATAGTAAGCGATTGTTAGAATTGATTTAGAAGTTATACCGCGAAGGAAAATTTGGGTAAAGTATGGAGGAACTTACCAAACATATCATGTTAACTCGTCATCCCAGTAGTGATAAACAATATGCAGCTCTATAAATTCTCCTGTATTGAACAGAGAGCACATAATCTAAAAGTAAGTTGACAAAAATGGAAGAATCATTACAATAGAAGATATACTACTTCAGGTACATTGAATTTTTGAAAAGCTTTACTATCTCAAATAAATATTTTTTTTTATTTGTTTGTACAATGAAATCACACAGGAGAGCAAACAATATGAAGGTAAATTGAGGAATCATTCCACAAGAAGATTTATTTCTTCAGGTAAATCAAAATTTTGATTTGTTTATATAAATGAATTCATTAGAATATAATAATTTATTATTAAGAGAACAGAGAGATTATGGTGAAAGATCATTGATTTTTCGTCAAGTAAGTAGTCTGTTCTAATTGTGAAGGTCACAGTTCAAAGTGGCTGTAAAATGAATAGTAGGAAAGAGCACAACTCTGTACGTACGACTAGATAGCAAGCACGAAAGGAATAACTTGAACAACGTGGGGATTGATATAGGGGTACATAAGAGAAGAAAAAATAGATCTGATTTTGTTGACAAAGGCATCGTATGAAAACAACCAAATAGATTAATAATAGAAGTTGTCTAAGTTTGGATAAAACCATACAAGTATGAATATCATCACTATGGACAACATGCGCTACTTATTAAACTAAACTTGAAATGGTAAAAGGACGAAACAACTTAACTAAGCTGAAAGGCGGGTTGTTATTATACTAAACTAAAAATTAAGGGTTGTTATTATACTAAACTAAAAATTATAAAAGGACAAAACAACTAAAGTTAGCTCAAACAACAGAAAAGAATCAGAAGCAACACTAATCCCTCTACTCTTCCACTTATTTGTGTGTTGAACACTTATTCCTCGTCATTTGTGACCAACACTAATCCCTTTACTTTTTGACCTTATTTGTGTCTGCAACGCTTAATTCCTCACCATCTATGATTAGGTTTCTTCGTTTCCTACTCTTAGCACCATTTGTGACATGTAGTTCATCCTCATGATCTTCCAAGTCAGTCAGTAACACATCAACAGATACCTGATTGTTCTACAAAAAGTAAATTTATCAACATATTTATTAACCATGTTAATTTTTAAATTGATTTGAAGTTGCATATTAAAACATTAAATGTAATTACCATCTCTTTGGTCAATCCGTTGGTTCCCTGATCCTTTGGGGTGGTTTCATTGTTGGATAAGTTCTTCCCCTGGAAAAAGAACAATAGGCAAAATATATTACTAAGTAAGGTTAATTGTAAATTAAAAACTCATAGTCTATATTGCAATACCTTTTCTTCTTTCCTTAGTTTGTATTGTACTTCCAAATTATCATCTGTAATCCAAAGCTTTGATATTGTAAAATTCTCAAGCCCTTCTTTCATATTATAATGATTTAATCTTAGTTTAAAAAAAAATTCTTTCCCGCAGAGGCTTTGGACTTGGACAGGCACATCATTGTTAGCCATGGTAAGCTTGTTGAACAACTTGTGAGCCGATGTATCAATGAATTTCTCAGCCACATCATTAAATATGATAAAAGTAGTGTCTCCAGTCCTATCTGTCACTTTTAGGTGTATCTTGTACCTATGTTTAGATAATAAGTTAGATTGATTCACAACATATAAAATCCTAGTTCATAGTCCTTCACAAATCCTTACCTGACCAAAGGAAACTTGCAATCTTTATTGCAATTGTTGCATCGATAGATACTATTTGTTGGTTCAATCTTCTTCGAACACACATTGCATGAAATGTAGTACCAACCAAAATAGTTATCTATTTCCTTTATCTTGCTCTTCACGGTAACAATGTATTCCTACAGTTTTAAATAAATACCATGAAATAGCGTAACGATCCTGTTTAAATGGGAAACCAAAAATTCGAGAAGCATAATAAGAAAAGAACCTGTAGTTCAGAGCTCCATTCAGCCTCCAACAACTCCTTAATGTCCATACGGTTCATAAACATCTCTTCCTCAATAGGAAGACTGTTAACATTAGAGCTTTCGATAACTTGAAGTTCTGTGGACATGGTGGAAAATTTTGGAGCCAAAGATCTTATGTAATCTATATCAAGATTTACATAGATTTTGCTTGCATAGGTGGTGGAGAAGCTAACCTCACCTATTATCAATGTATGGGTTAAAAATAAAAGTATGGCATTTATTCGAAACATTAGCAGTTAAATTCCTAGTATCTACAACTAAATCGGAAATAATTACCATAAAATTCTTTCACCGTTGTAGAAGTCACTATCACTATATATGGGCCAGCATCATTGTTATACAAATAAGGAGAAAACTTCTCCCCAAGTTCTTCCCATAAGGTAATTTTTGCTTTAGCTGAACTATGCAGACAAAACATAAATCGGTAATCAAATAATTCTATTGTTAGGAGATAACAAAGTAAAGCAACTTAAAATGAGATGAGTGACTTACTAATTTGTAAGAATGTGGATATCCCTCTTCTTCTATTTTGAACCAACACTCTCGATATCACCAATTCCATATAAACAACCAACCACATCTACGAATATTGAAGAAGAAGATTCGGATGTAAGTGTTGTATTCCAATAGTTTAGGCAATTATTTTCCATTTACACATAAATAAACTACCAACCAACCACATCTATGATTATTGAAGATGAAGAATCGTATGTAAGACTCGTATTCAAAGAGTTTAGGGTATTATTAAACATTTACACATCACTCTGAGGTTAGAGTATCAATCTATAATGTGATAGGTACCGGTTAAATTTAAATAGCTAGTTTAGCCATATTCCGTTTTATATTGATAGTGTTTCTCTGGAATATAATGTTTTTGAATGATGAAGTTCATCCTTTTTCAAAATTATCAATTTTATTAAGTATGTGATAGGAAATTACTGATATATCAAGAATAGATAATATACATTAGAAGGGAGTTGTCATATAGGACAGAAAGAGCAAACCTATATCAAGGTTGTGAATGTCATCAAACAGAATATCATGAGTTTATCTTAGTAATAAATTTTGCATCTACGTATAACTAAAAATGTAATTGGTAAGAATTTAAATATAAATATAGACCTGATAAGACAGTGTTGTTGTTCACCCTTGAGTCAATCACATCTGGATTAATAAATTCAAAACTGTTTATTGGAATTTCAACAATATTTTTAGACAAATTCTTGATTGCAGTTGAGGCAAAGAAAATGATTTTCAATGAGTTTTGAACAAGTCTATATCCCCCATGCTTTCAACAACTTTGAAGTTCTTGATGATAAAAATACAGAACCTTCACTCAACATGTCTTTGAACCTGTTAACCTGAGTTTTCCTAATTATACCATGCATCAAATTACCTTGACAGAAGAATAAATTAGTAAGTAATTTGAGAATTCAAACTTCCAAAAGTAATATGTAATTGGGAGAATGAATCAATGGAATACGTACCTTTTCATCAATAAATATCATATCCATACTGATCAACTCACCATTTTTCTTGGGATTAATGGCATCCCACATTCTACAAAGTCTTACTCTTATTGTAAAATCATCTCGACCAGTAACCAAGTTTGAAAGAAAAGAAGTCGTCATTGTAAAAACTCAATTAGAAGGAATAGAGACAATGTAAATTTGAATATGGGAATGATTCACTAACCATCTATATATACTACAAGAATAAGGGTTATGAAAGGGGAGAATAAATCAACAGAGTAATTAGCAGAGCAATTATCACAAGATTAATACACAATTAAAGATATTACAGTTACAAATAAGGAAGATAAAACAATGGATTTTATGGAAACGTGCCTCATAAGTTCTTGGGAGGAAGAAGCTCGACAGTAGATATAAAAAGAATGATTCTTGGGAGGGAGAAGCTCAACAGTAATTGAGAACGTGATGTTAAAAAAATGACTGACCTGGGTCATTATAGTCCTGTATATTCAATTGGATCATTAAATTTGTGTACATGGGTTGGGCTTTATTGTAATTTAATATTATTTGTATTTAATAGGTAACATGTGGGCTGGAGTTAATCAATTATATTGTGGGGTAATTTTTATGTGATTTAATTATTTACCTATTAAATGGTGGAAAAATTAGGAATCAATCTAGCTTCAGAACCATTCCATAGTAACATAAGTCATATGAGGTTAGAAAGTAGTACACATTAATGAGTTTATTGATTCCGTTGTTGATACTTTTTTCAACATGTCAACTCTGCAGGTCTTACAACTGTGAGTCCAATGTAGATAAATGTTGTAAACCAAATAAGTATAATATAAATGGTAATGAAATAATATTAATTGGTTCTTATCTGAAATTCCTTTAGTTATATAGTATTTGTGTGAGTTCCTGGTACTTCATCTACATCATCAGTCTTCAAGTGTATACCTATTTGTCCCAAAACAGAGCACTGTTAGCTGAACAATTATGAATTTATACAGTAAAATAATATTATGGAATGAAATAAAGAAATACTTTGTTTCTATTTCAGCTTGAGGGCATATATTTTGAAATACTTCTGTGTAAACAATATTTTTAATGAACACAGGATCTTCTATGTCGTCTTCAACATTTAGTATAGTTAATCCTTGTCTTGTTGTTACTCGGGATAGTGCTACATATAATTGGCCATGAGTGAATACTTGTTTAAGAAGATACAATCCAACATGGTTGAGAGACCATCCTTGACTTTTATTAATTGTCATAGCAAAGCATGGTGCTATAGGAAGTTGTCGTCTGTTAAACTTGAATGGCCACTTTGAATCATTAGGAGACATAATAATTCTTGGTATTGTTGCTTTCGAGCCAATGTTCTTTTCGGAGATGATATTTGCGCTAATAGACCAGTTACCAAGATGTGTGACAATCAATCTTGTTCCATTGTGTAGTCCTTCACTTTGATTTAGATTCCTGAGAAGCATAACTGGAGTGCCTACTTTTAAGTGTACGTCATGATTAGGAATTCTCGGAAATCTTAAGTTGTTTAAAATTTCTGTTGGGTACAACAGATCTTCATCATTAGTGTTGACACTTGCTATTCACACATTGTCTGAGCTAAAATATGTTCTTCCTTCACCTGATATCATTTGCATAATTGTATCATTCAATTCATGGACCATTTCATTTTTAGGAGTAAGTATTGCTCTTTCTTGCAAATATGTTGGGTCATTGTACTTCTGCAAGAGGGATGGGTAAACTGCCTCGACGATTGACCCGGTTGGATCATTGGATGGCATTATACATATATAATAAGGTCATTGTCAACATCACTATAAAAGGATCCATCCCCAATTTGTAACAACCATTTGTCGAAAGTAGTAATTTCAACGGCCTCAGAATCAGATACTCTTCCACAACAAAGTTGCATATTTTGTTTCAGCTCATAAATTGTAAAGAATGGCCACAAATATGAGGAGTTGAGTGATGCATCTAGAATATCAACTCGTGTTCCTTTTGGAATCACTGGTAGTATTTGACGAAAATCACTACCAAATATGATTGTAAGGCCTCCAAATGGTTTATCTGAGCTGTTTTCATATTTTACTCGGAGGATATCTCGCAAGGTCCTGTCTAAGGCTTCAAAACAAAATTTATTTGCCATTGGTGCTTCATCCCAAATGATTAAAGATGTTTTCAGAAGTAGTTCGGCTAACTGACTTTCTTGTCTTATTTCACAAGTTGATTCTGCACTGATGTCCAAAGGAATATGAAATCGTGAATGTGCTGTCCTACCATTTGGTAATAACAAAGTCACTATTCTGGAAGTAGCAACTAGAAGAACTATTTTTTATTCTGATCTCAACTTGGAAATTATTGTATTCTATAAAAATGTATTTCCGGTACCACCATGTCCATTTATAAAAAATAAGCGGCCTTCTTCATTTACAATTGATGTTATTATTGCTTCATAAGCTATATTTTGGCAATCATTTAAGAGAGCGAATGATTTATCATGTACATCCTTTAAGCAACCTTTGTCATATTCTAGTTCCTCATTGATTAGACGATTCCCTGTGTCATTCATCAAAGTAGAATCTGGAAGTGGCATTCCATGCATGTCTTTCAAACTTTTTCCCATCTTCATAAGTATGGTTTCTATCTCAAATAACGTATATGATTCAAGTTGTTTTTCAGTTAACTGTAAATCTTCCAATTGAAATCTCTTTCGTTGTAATGATGTTATATCTTCTGATAAAATTTCATAGTTGCTCCTCCAAAGTTTGGATGAATCAGACACTTGATAGTGAATTAGTATCGTCACAAACAGATTTCTCAGCTCATTTCCTGATGCCCAACATGCAGCTTCAGCCAAGCAGTCATTCCATTCTTTATCATCCTCCAATAATCCCAATGCGTAGCATGCCTCCTTATAAGTATGATACCGAACTCCATTAATTGTTCTTATGCTTTCAAAGGAAGTGCTTCCTTTCACAAAAGTAAGTAGCATTCTCATGTAAAATCGTTCTCTACTTGCAGGATGCGCGAAGTAAATTCTACCAATTGACTTTCCCTTTTTTCTTCTAGTACATCTTTTACCTGTTGCATCCCAGACCCAACGCGTAGGAAAATCTGAATATGTTAGGTCTCGCGCATCCTCATATTCTTTGTTTGCCTTAAACTATTCCGTGAATTTTATATTTACTATATCGGGTCTGTTAAGTATGCTTTCAGGACACCCTTTTTCTTGGAATACTATGGTGTTTTCTCCCTATAAATGGAAATGGCAAACGCTCAACTGCTGGCTCTCTATGATATATGTCAAATTTAAAGATCCTCCAGCAAGCTTCTGTAGCTGATATGTATCTACAATCTAGATATCTTTTGATCTTATCACGTTCTGTGGTAGTATCTGAACATTCTATACCGATTGTTGCTCTATCAGATCCCTTATTGACATATTTAAATAGGTACTTCATCGATATTGAGTAATTGCATAACTTGACATTTATATGTGCATCAAATTTGACAATCAAATTCCTGTTATAAGGGACGACATATCTGTTATCTAAAAAGACATTATTTTATTGGCTTTTGTACATGTGTTTCTTCTCCTATAAATTGGGAACCCATCTGTATCAAAAGTTGTTTGATTGTTGAACTTCTTTGGGAAATGCTTGCTGCACTTTCCTTGTTTCATACATGGGCATCCTGGATTGAGGTCTCCACAAGGTCCATGCATCATGTAGTTCTTCACAACATTATAACCATCAGGATCAACATCCATATCAGGTATTCCAGCAGTTATCATTGTGTTGATATGATCTATATATGGACTTTTTAATGTGGGATGCCGGAAGAGTAGTGTATGTGCATGAGGTGGTCCTCTTTTTTGAAACTCAATTGTTTATTAACCGACAGAGTTAATGGTATAATTGTTAGGATGCCGAAAAAGTAAGCATTTGTTTGTGTTTTACCAAAATGTAAACGCTTTAATTAATAACTGATGCATTATGTTAGTATGTTTAAGTTTGAACTTACATGCGATTATTTTTCCAAAAAGTTGTTGCTTTTTTAGATCTTGCATCAGTTGGAATAATTTGATTTGGAACACTCTGCATATGATGTCCACCATGTTATCATCACCAGATTGGTCTATTAAGTGAAGCATTTCATTTATTTCGGGCCACTTTGGATTGCATGTGAAAGTGAGGAACAAATCTGGATATCCAGCCCACCTACAAATTGCCATTGCATCTTGATAATTTTGTGCCCGATAGCAGGTCCTCCAGTGTGAGATGAAGGCATAATAACTGTTTTTCCTACCAGTGAACAATCTGAATCACCACGAACAATGGTATCCATTAAGCCAGAGTAAAGAGCAGCTCTGAGTTTTGTTTGATTATTCCGAATATAACTAAATCTTTCTTCCTTGATTGACATGTAACCGTCAACAATGTATTGTTGTAATAGTCTACCAGCTAATAAGAGAGTCTTACCCTCGTTAAGCCTTTGTTGTATTCTAAAGCAATAAAAGTCTCTCATTGATAATTTTTGTCGTTTGTAAGTCTTGTTGATCACATCTGCCAAATTTATTCCAAGTCTATATCCATCTTCGCCATATGGGTGTATTAATGGGTATGTCATAGACATAAAACTTAGTGTAGATTTGTAATTCTTTGAAGTCCATTTTTCCTATGCTCTACAATAATATCTCGCTGGAAATTTTCTTCCGTAAGATCACCCACTATTAATCAAGCTACTTCAGAAGTTGTGGGTATATTATATTGCCGACTATCTGTTGTCCTGTTAGATAGGAGACGTAGGCAAAATTCACATTCAGGATTCTCTTTATATCTATCCATAACCATTCGAAATGTTTTTACCAATATATTATGTGCGTCCAACATTTCAAATAAGCCATGAACAATTTTGGGATCAATGTCTCCTTGCAACAAACAATTCATTCTGTTGTTTATCTCATTTTCAGTATCATATATATATAGCTGAGCAAACTGGGGTCTTTTACCAATTTCAGGCAATAAAGATCCTATACGATGATAATTTTGACCACTCATCCTGAAAATGTATGGCCCCTTTGAGCGATTGATAGATCCATCAACTCGGCCACCGATGGATGTAAATGCAAATATTGAGTTATAAGCCCTGATATTTTTTTGAAAATTCATACCTAGTTGTCCAGATTTTGTACCCAAAAGATACTTGAGATAAGGTGGTGGTTCGCTCAATAAAGGAAGTTGTACACGACCTCCTCCTATACAACAAAATGAGAATATCGGTTTTGTTGTTTGTACTATTTTTGTTGTCCGTTCTTCATACCATAACAGAGCTCCACAATATTGGCATGTAAACTTTGGGGGCCAAAATTCCAAGTTGTTGTGTAATGGGCTGTCAAATTTGAACATTTAAATATAAACATAATCATTTTATAGGTTGTTAATGATTTATTTATTCAGTTTCTCATATGAACAATAAGTCGAACTTTGACATTTAGTTAAGAGATAAATGGGGATGCATATTAACATACCATTTTGATGAATGGGAACATGTCTACTTGTAAACTTTGTCAACTTTGCCAACTTTGTGAATCTATTCACAAAACGTATGAGCTGAATTATTAATTTTTTTGGATGGTTCTTGTATTGTTCTTCAATTAAAGCAACCTTTCGCATTGAAATACTTGCATCTGGTGTTTTTGAGAGAGCCCACTTCTTTATTCATTCGACTACACTCCCCTGTTGATGCATTTGCATTTTCTTTTTGTTTTAGCATCCGTTCTTGGGAAGCTAATTCTGGTAGTAGCTGTTGTAGGAGCTTAATTACCATTGAAATATTCACCGAGCCACTGTATTCTTTAATGGTAGCAGATAGCAATTCCATTGAACCTGTTATATTTGTTTTGGTAGAATATAATATGTTAGAAGTAGATATTTTGGCTATATCCAAATGTAATTTTTGATACAGTATACCCCGGTGCTATTGAATATGTGAGAGTACTTGTCGGAGTAGAAGCTCATCTGAAAGGCAATATGTGTTCTGAAGAATATTATTCAAGTAGAGTAGGAATCAATATACAAACCACTGTAAATCAAAACACTCACCGAGATGATCTCTAAGAAATTGAATGGATTGCAATGTGTGAATCTGCTGCTGCGTTAAGTTTTTTGAATTATTAAAAAAGTAAATAAACGTCTCCCCTTTCTTGAATGTGCACTCTATTTAATTTGAAGATAAAAAAGAAATGGATGATCGAATGGTGGTAGAATTTGAATATGATGAATGAGTGATTGAATGGCTATAATTTTGAGTGTGATGAATTTGAATATGAATAGAGGGAAGATATGAGAATTGCCTGGGCATTTAATAGGAGTGAGTTGTATTTGATTTGTTGATAAAATGTAATTGAATAAGATTGCGAGGAAGATTTGGGGCTTGGCTGGTCATTTAATAACATAGATTTACCAAATCATCTGGATGGGTAACTGATATTAGCTATAATATTTCAGGTAATGCACACCTACAAATGTGATATGGAATGACTACAAAATGATGAAAATGCAGTCAATTCATACATCCCCTGTAACCCAACTTGCACTGTCTGTAGAACGAATTGTCACCAGCTTAGCCCACCTTTAACCGTTCTCCTTTTTCATAAGTAGTTGCAGTAGGTAATTTACAGACATACAAATTAGCATAATCGATTGCTTAATTTACTTCTGAATATATATTACTTCTTCATGCACACTTTTTGCTAAAAGGAGTTACAATCTCCCAACAATACTGCAAGATGAGAAATTGGCATTATATGAAAACATGTCATCCATGTGATGCGCGTAACTTGTAGACAGACATGGCTAACAAATTGTGTCCTGTTGACATAACTGGATTCTCCATTTCTGTTAAATAACACATAGAAAATAAGGATAACATGATTAAAATCAAACACAAACAACCAAAAAAGTTCTCAGAATTCTCTTGCAGTAGCTCATTTGATACATTCCTTCTCTTTAATAATATATATTAGAAGATTCTTCTTTGAAATACAACAATAACCGTCTGGCTATATGGCATTGGTTACGGGACATTGGCATACACACAAGTCAAGAGCATCAATATTGAGTGCTTGATGAGAAAAAACTCATC